TCTTCTATTGTAATGTTATAAACTTAAGTCCATGCCTTTAAAATATATCTTAACAAAAGAAAATCAGGAAGTGCCCGTCCAGGACCAGCTGATGCTCTTACATTTAAAGTGAGGCAAATTAGGTCATGACAGTAGGATAAGAGAAGGCCCTAGGTCTCCTGGTTTACAATCTTTGTTTTTTACCACATGTGTCTAAATCACAGAACCATGCAACCCTTTTTTTCTTAATTAAGCTTTTACTTCAAAGGAAACTAATTTTTTCTCTCTATTTTTGTGTATTTGACAATTTTATTTAAGTAACTTAAAAATCTTTGAACTGAAATGAAAAAGTGATTGTTTAAAGCAAATCAGAAAGTGGTTGATTATAATAGACTTCTCTGTTAGGGAATGAAAAACTGGTAACAGTGGCCGCCTCTTGGGGGAGACACTAATACTGGAGTAAAAGTAGCAATCATTGATTATAGTGGTATATGACAAGGTGTTTCTGAGACTTGCAAATCTGGAGAATAATCAATACCTCCAGTTCACTTACAGGTTAGTAGAGAAGAACAAGGAAAAGAGTAGTAACAAGTGTATCTAGTTATGTGAAACTCATAGATTTGGATAGAACTTCTGGAGATATCCCTTGTAATAACCACACCCTTCACATTTACTACCCAGATTTCAGGGGTCAAATAGATTTGGATAAAAAGGAATATGTTGGTTTTGTTTGGGTGAAGACTGGTCCTGTGAATTGCATTGATGTGCCTCTAATTTAGTGAGTGACCCTGGGTAAATTTCTTAACCTGATTTCTCAGCTGCCAGTGGATGGAGATGGGAAGCGCTATTCTTACCTAGTACATAGGGTTTTGTGGTATAAAATGAAGCCATGTAAAAATAAACTGAATTCTAGGCTCATTCTTTTTACAATATTAGGAGTTTAACTTGAACTTTTAGGAGAAAGGAGAAATGTGTTAACAAGTACATGTTGTTCATGCTAGGGAAGATTGCAGTATTCATCTCTCAAAAAGAGAAAGGGAAGGCCAGATTTAACTATGCTTTGGCCACTTTATATACTTTCCCTTGTGTGTGTGGGGGTGTGTGTGGGGGGTGTGTGTGTGTTTTACAGTGTACTCTTTGAATCTTCTACCTTCTGTTTAAAACTTAACGATTTTTGAGAGCCAGTTTACTTCTGAATAACTTCCTCTTTTCTGAAATAGGAAGAAACATTTTTAAATAGAGCAATTCAAATATGTTTAAGGGTTATTAATCATAAATTTCAGAGCATAGATTCAAGAAAGCACTGATAGTATCTGTTTAGCACCTTTGATAGTCATGTATTTAATTTAGGTAATTAAATTCTTATGATAGAAGTAATAGTTAACCTCAATGTACAGTGCTGTGAACATACTAATTTTTAAAAATTGAGGCTGCATAGTTATAATGAAACCATAAATAGCCTTTTTATTTTTATTTTATTTTTTCAAATACATTTGTCTCTGCCTTCCCCCCACCACTTTCCCTTGCCCCCTCCCCCGCTCCCTCCCTCAACCCTTCCCCTTTGGTTTTGTCCATGAGACCTTGCTATATGTTCCTTGACTTTCCCTTTCCCTTCCTTTTCCCCTACCCCCCTCCCCACCTCCTTCCCTCTGGTCTCTGTTGGTTTCTTTTCCTTTCAGTGTTGCTGGTCTTATTTTCCTTGCATCTTTGTATTGTTGGTTAGGTTCCGCTTATAGGTGAGATCATATGGTATTTGTCTTTCGCTCCCTGGCTTATTTTGCTTAGCATAATGCTCTCTAGTTCCATCCATTGCTGTCGCGAAATTTAGTTCTTTTTTTCTTTCTGCTGCGTAGTATTCCATTGTGTAAATGTACCATAATTTTTTGATCCAGTCATCTACTGATGGACATTTAGGTTGCTTCCATCTCTTGGCTATTGTAAGTTGTGCAGCTATGAACATTGGGGTGCATAGGTTCTTTTGAATTGGTGTTTGGGGATTCTTAGGGTATAGTCCCAGCAGGGGAATCACTGGATCAAAAGGCAGTTTCATTTTCAACTTTTTGAGGAAATTCCACACTGCTTTCCACAATGGCTGCCCCAATCTGCATTCCCACCAGCAGTGTACTAGTGTTCCCTTTTCTCCACAGCCTCACTGGCACCTGTTGTTCGTTGATCTGTTTATGATGGCCATTCTGACCGGTGTGAGGTGGTACCTCATGGTGGTTTTGATCTGCATTTCTCTGATGGCTAGTGATGCCGAGCATCCTTTCAAATGACTCTGGGCCCTCTGTATCTCTTCCTTGGAAAAGCATCTGCCCAGGTCCTTTGCCCATTTTTTGATTGGGTCATTTGTCTTCTTGGAGTGGAGCCGAGTGAGTTCTTTATATTAAATAGCCTTTTTAATGTAGCAGACTTACTCAAGGAAAATAACAAGAGTGCCTGAAATTATTATGTATGGGCAGTAACTTTTTCTTACATAGTTTATGGGGATATGGTTTAAGAAACAGGATAGTTATATAGTCTTGAGCTATCTTCCCATAAAATACTTAACTACAAAGGGGAAAATAGTAACTTTATAATAGATAAACCTGTTAGGTCGATCACCCTAACTAAATGATCAAAGTTAGGATCACTAGTAATGGGGCAAATAGCTATTTTAGACTTCCTGATATGATGTATTTGAAAGGATATAACATTACTTTCTTTGTATTCTTGCCAAAAATGCAAACTGAATCTCATGTGTTGTTATCATACAAACCAAAATTGGGGGACATTTTACAAAACAAATGACCTGTATTCTTCTAAAGCCTCAAGAGCATGAAAGACAAAGAAAAACTGAAGAATGACTCTAGATTAATGGTTAAGAAATTGTTTGAGATTAAAAGAGTCGTCATAAAGAAACATGATGAAGCCTATGACCCTAGATTGGATCCTGAACCAAAATTTCTTTTTCATTTTTTAAAAAGTACATTAATGAAAAGAATGCAGAAATTTGCATGAGATCTGTAAATTAAATCAGCATCTCCCAACTGTTTTAGCACCAGGGACTAGAAGACAGTTTTTCCAATGGGGTGGAGAGGGGAGAATGGTTTCAGGATGGTTCAAGTGCATTATATTTTTTGTGCACTTTATTTCTATTATTACATTGTATTATATAATGAAATAATTATACAACACATCACATGCTAGGGTTAGCACATGGGCTTACCAAAACTGTGACTGAGACAAGTGAGCAGTGAAGGGGAGGAGGGAAGAGGCGTGGACAGAAGTGGTAAATAAAATAATGGGTGGGCCACACACAGACTAAAATAAATGTCAGCTTCTGACTTAAACCCTGACACCAGATGCAGCTGTACAATTGAAGTACATCAACTCACTTGCCACTCTAAGCCAGCCACTTGATGTAGCCTAATTGTCACCTGCCACTCACTGATAGAGTTTTGATATGAATCCACAAGCAATTGATTAATTAGGGTCTCTGTGCAGTCAAACCTCTCTGCTAATGATAATCTGTATTTGCAGCTGCTCCCCAGCACTAGCGTTACTGGCTCAGCTCTACTTCAGATCATCAGGCATTAGATTCTCATAAGGAGTACGCAACCTATATCCTCTGCATGCATAGTTCACAGTAGGGTTCATGCTCCTATGAGAATCTAATGTCACTGCTGATCTGACAGGAGGCAGAGCTCAGCCAGTAATGTGAGCGTTGGGGAGTGGCTGTAAATAGAGATGAAGCTTTGCTCCCTTGCTAGCTCGCTTGCCACTCACCTCCTGCTGTGCAGCCTGGTTCCGAACAGGCCACATCAGCGGTTGGGGACCCCTGGATTAAATAATAGTACTATATCACTGTTTTTTTTCTGGTTTTGATTATTGTACTATCTTTATATAAGATAATATTCATGTTTTCAGGAAACACACTGAAGTATTTAGGGATAAAGGCCCAATATGTCTGCCACTTTCAAACAAATCAGAAAAAAATGCAGGTGTAAAAATAATAATATAGAAAGAGAATGATAGACATGATTATGTGTTAAAATTACACAGATATGGATGAAATTTGTAGGGGAATTCTTTGTGCTATTTTTACAATCTTTTTAAATATTAAATATTTTATAAAGGAGCTAGAAACTTAATAGGTTTGTCACTAACTGATTTTTCCTTTCTTTTTTTTTTTTTTTGCATCAATAGGCTGTTTATTGCATATCAGTCCTTTGAAAGGATGATGATTTACAGAGAAATGTTAAATGGAAATGTGCCAAATGAATAATACCATTACAAGTGATAGGTAGAGCAATATAAAAGGAGTTGATAAGTGTCAAAGCATTTTTACTATATTTGAAAAGTAATTCTTTTATAGACAGTCCTCATTATTACATAATATTAAGATCCATGTATACATTGTCCTGTACACTCAGAAAACTTTTTATTTGCTTTTTACTCTTAACATTGAATTCTTTTCATGAACAGTTAACTGATTTTTGAGTAGGTTGTTCAAAACCCTTCTGGGTCAGTTTCCTCACCTGATAAATGAGGTGGCTGGACTAGATACCTTAGGGGGTCCTTTCAGTTCTAAAATTCTGAGATCTTATAACCAGAAATAAAATGACAGTTAATTTTCACATTTGAGTCAAAAGTTGTTAAACAAAGACTGTGTGCCAATTGACAGTGTAATACTTATTTAAACTCGCAGATGTTTTTCTGTCAAAGAAACTTTTATTGAGATTGTTTTTAATCATACATTTGTATGCAACTTCTCACACATTAATGACTAGTAAACTTAAGTGGCTTAAAAGCATACTTTTATAGAATTTTCCAATGAAAACTTGGTTGTTAAGACTCAAGATTAATAATGAAAGTTTGTTATCTTAATATATATGTGTTCACTTCAACCTTAGAAGGGTTGTCAAGGTACAAGTTGTTGATGGTATAAAAACTACATTGATGTTCAGTATGAGATAATTTTTGGTTCCATCAAACAAAAAATAATTTTGTTAATCCTTTTTTTCCCTCACCTCTCCCAGGTTGGTGATCCAGCTATTTTTCCTGCTGTAATAGTGGAACATGTTCCTGGTGCTGATATTCTCAATAGTTATGCGGGTCTGGCCTGTGTGGAAGAACCCAATGACATGATTACTGAGAGCTCCCTTGATGTTGCCGAAGAAGAGATCATAGATGATGATGATGAAAACATCACCCTTACAGGTATGTGTGCCTGCAGTAGCGCCTTACTTCAGCCTAGTTTCAGGCAGTGTCCTAACCCTGTGATTCTGGGGGCATACAAAGTCCCTAACTTGATGTTAAATAACTCCATTACCTGCAGAAACTAGAGCCCTGCAGGGAGAAAGAAATGTCCTTTTCTTTCTCATCTGCTTGCATTTCATAGTTCTTTCTCACCTCCCCTTTTTTCTTTCCTAAATATAGTGAGATGAATGTGACAAAATAAGGAGGCATGCAGGAGGAACCATACCAACTCAATTCATCAAGTCTTCTCTGAGCACTTTTTATATTCCTAGCTCTACATTCCTGATAACAGTGAGAATTTGTTGGTAGGGGAAAAGATAGGAAAGTTTTGTTTGTTTGTTTGTTTGTTTCTTTGTTTTTTACTGCCATTGCTTAAAGCAAAACAGGAGGCCATGATACAAATGTAGGATAAGGTACTGAGGTTAAATGAAGATTCTCCTTCTGGTTTAGTCAGAGCTAGTAGGGTATTTCAAACTTGAAGAGTTTACTATGTAATGTAAGTATGAGGTACAGTGGTAGTGCTGTTTTCACCATTTTTAGAAATTGGTGCATGTACTCATATTGTTATACATTAACATACAGAGATGTTGGAAGTATTTGAGAAAATCAATTATTTGAAAGGAAAGGTTATCTAAATAGTGTTAAACTAAAAACAACAGAAAATTAACATTAGTCACAATATTAGCTAAACCTAGACCTTATTTGTAGGTTTTAGTCATTTCGTACTAATGTCCTTTTTCTGTTCCAGGGTCCTATCTGGAATCTCACATTGCATTTAGTTGTCATTTCTTCTTAGTTTCTTCTAGTCTGTGGCTGTTCCTTTTTCTTACCTTGTCTCTTATAGCCTTGACACTTTTGCAGAGTACTAGTTAGATATTTCAGAATGTCTCTTAATTTTGTGTGATGTTTTTCTTATGATTGGAATGAGATACATGCATTTTGGGCAAGAATATCATCAAAATGGCATTGTCTCCTTTTCAGTGTATCATACTAACATAATTGATTAAAATGCATTGTCTCTGTCCTGGCTGGTGTAGCTCAGTGGATTGAGTGCCTGCCTGTGAACCAAACGGTTGCAGTTTGGGTTCCCAGTCTAGGGCACATGCCTTGGTTGCTGGCCAGGTCTCCAGTAGGGGGCACGCTAGTGGCAACCACACATGGATGTTTCTCTCATATGGTATATCCATAATTTTTATTTGCAGAAACCCAGTGAAAGTTTTTTTAATAAATCTAAATTTGTTTCTCCCTTATGGATAAAGGAATTAAATTAATCAAGTTAGAGGTTTCTATTCATTGCTGTCTGTGATATATAGATTTTGTCTACCCAAATGACCACCACTGTGCACTTATCTATTGGGTAGCTAGTGACATTTCTGCAGTCTATTCTGAATTCTTGATGCCTTAGGGAAGGCTATACTTTGTAGGTTGCAAACGAGGGCCTTCCCAGTTTTAGTCATCAGGGAAGATATTAGTCTTCAAAGAAGAAATTAAGTCTGGAAAAGCAGATCTTAGAGCTTTAAGAGAAGGAATTGCTTTCAGTGCTTCATTCTCTTAGGCTTAGACTTGAAGACAGCTGATGGTGAGGTACATACAGGTTCCTTCCTTCCTTCCTGGAAAGCAGAATTGGTAAGGAATGGGTCCAGAAATCAAACATGTTTTGAAAACCAGATTTGCTTTTTGCATGTTTCTTCTCCCTCCCCTTTCTTACCTCCCAGCTTTAACACTTCCATCCTTGTTTGAGCATGTCTAGAGAAAGAAGAGAACCTTGTAGTAGCCCTGCTTGGTCTGCAGTAAGAGAGGGAAGAGTACTGGATTTAGGAGACACTGCAGAAGAAGAAAGAGATGGAAATAGAACATTTTATAAACTGTACATGAGTCCTAGGTAGCACTGCAGTTGATATTAGGAGTTATTATTACATTTATTGTTAGTATTTTAAATATGATAAAAAGCATTGTGCTAGATTCCAAATCTTTTAGACATATACTAAAATATTTAGGGATAAAATATGCTGTCTTGGATTTCTTTAAAATAAACCTTGAGAGCAGTGAGTGGTGTGTAGATAAAAGAAGATTGACCCTGTGTTGATAATGGTTGATGCTGAGAAATGGATACGTGAGAATTCATTATACTATGTTTCATAATTTTGATTTTGTTTGAAATTTTCAATAATAAAAAGATTGAATGATTTTTATTGATTTGAGGCTTATGTTAGTAACTGTGGCTGTTATCTGTAACACCTAATTTCAAATTTGCATGTATATCAAAACACTGTCATTTTTATTATTGATTTATCTCTTATCAGGTTTGATATAAATTTGAACCTATAAAATAAATGTGTAATGATAAAATACCATGTTTATCCATTTATATGTTGGAGTTCCACATAAGGGTTTGTTGGGGTTTTTTTTTTAGATTTTATTTATTTTTAGAGAGAGGGGAAGGGAGGGAGAAAGGAAGAGAAACATCAGTGTGTGGTTTCCTCTTGCATGCCCCCTAATGGGGACCTGGCCCGCAACCCAGGCATGTGCTCTGACTGGGAATCAAACTGGTAACCTTTTGGTTTGCAGGCCAGCACTCAATCCACTGAGCCACACCAACCAGAGCCCACATAAGGTTTTATTTAAAAAGGTTGTGCTATTAAATTTTTTTTTAATTTTATTTATTTCTAGAGAGAGGGGAAGGGAGAAAGAAAGGGGAGAGAAAATTCAATTGGTTGCCTTTTTTACACACCCCACTGGGGACCGAACCCACAACCCTGGCATGTGCTCTACCTGGGAATAAAAACCTTTTGGTTTGCGGGATGATGACTAACCAACTGAGCCACAATGGCCAGGGCTATGCTATTAAATTTTTCAAAAATATTTATTTACATTTTAATGTTTTTTAAACATTAAGAAAAAAACTTAGACAAGGCATAGTCCATAGTAGGAGAATTAGTGTCCTACAGTACACAGTAGAGAAGAATGGTACCCAAATTACCAAAGGGTATTTAGATTCTAATAATATGACTGTGACTAAAAACTTTTTGGAGATGGTGGCAATTTGCCAGCTATAGAGGAATGAAAGAAGAGTCAGAGATTGTTAACAGAAACCCAAGTTCATTCCAAGAGTTTTGGGATCAGTTTTGAGCTGAAAGGGACCTAACAAAGTCAACCCAGTCATTTATACTAATTGTTTTTTCTTTATATTATAGTTGAAGCTTCTTGTCATAATGGGGATGAAACAATTGAAACTATCGAGGCTGCTGAGGCACTCCTCAATATGGATTCTCCTGGCCCTGTGCTGGATGAAAAACGAATGAGTGAGTAGTTATGTGTTATGATTGTTCATGTTTATATACTTTGACAACTATTCTTGCCATCTCTTTCTATTAGATGGTAAATATAAAGAGACTCAAGACCATATTTTATACTTTTTTTTGTTCCAAGGGTATAGTACTTCTTGAGAAACCTTTGCAAAAGTGTTCAATTAAATAAGACTTTAAAAAAAGGGGCGGGGAGGGGGAGTGAGACCTTTAGGAATAAAAAAGTAATTTAAATAAAAATAAGAAAAAGACCAAAAAAAAGTAATTTACATAGTTGTCAAAGGGAAGATTATGAAGAATTTCTTCTCTTAACCTTATTGGTGGAAGGAGTAGGGTGTTTAGGTCCCAAACTGTTTATTATGTAGTGATTTATGTAGATCTTCATCAGTGAATGTCAAGCATCCATTGCAAAGTTTCCTAACACTTCACAGCATAAAATTCACTACCACATTTGGTCTTCTTTATTTATTTTTTGTGGGGGGAAGGTGGGCAGAGAGGACAAGAAAAGCAATTTTATTTGGAAAGCCAGTGAGCTGAGAAGATAAGGACTGGTGTCCTAAAGAATCATCTTGAGAAAGTACAGAATTTGGGCTTCTTTTATTTCAAGGGAAGGGGGAAGCCAAGGGGTTTGCAGTCAGGGATGACTGATGATGCAATTATCAGCACATCAGCATGGGTCCACAGGGAATGGTGAAACTTCAAATTCCTATCGCTGAGGTCTCAGTAAGGAGGTTCCTATAAATCTATTTTCTCAGCCAGTTTCTCTATCTGCCCCATTTTATATCACCACCTTCACCACACGAAGAGGAAGCGCCATCGTGCGTGGGCAGGTTCCTCCTACAGCCACAGACATTCTTGTGTGCTTTTAAATCCATGTTCTTTGGGCTTTTCTAATAAGAAAGTAGTTAAACTAAAGATTAATTAATACTAAATCAATTCATGATGTCTACAGAATATTTTCTACGCATACCAGTGCATTAGACAATAGTGTTACACAAATGAATGGATACAACCTCTTTCCTCATATTACAATTAAATTTTGAAACCAGTTATTTATGTAAATAACTGTACAAAACAAAAATAAAAGCCATGAGAGGGTTAACATCGTTTTCTGGGAGGAGAGACTACTCTGGCTGGCAGTATAAGAGACAGGCTGTGTGGAGGGAGTGTTTTGACCTGGGCTATAAGTGACAAATAAGCTTCTAATGGGAAGAAGAGACAGGAAAGAGTATTCAAAGTAGAAGAAAAGGATTGCGCCAAAGACACAGACCTGTAAAAAAGAGTGAAGTATACTAGATAAAAATGCTTTGACATAGCTGAGTGGAGATAAGATTGCAAGGTAGGTTTGATCTAGACTGTGGAAGCGTTACATAGCATGCTGGACAGTTTGGGTTGTTCTTATCTTTTCTGTCCTATAAACTATGAAAAGATACGTCTGTTTTCTCTTTCTTTTTAATTTTCAGGAGGAAAGTTTTTATAGAGAAGAATAATACAGTCAGAACAGACTTAGTTTACAGAGAATCACTTTAGCAGCAATGTGAAAATGGGAGGAGAGAGAGGAAAGAGACTGGTGATAAGAAGTCAAGTAAGGGAAACATTAAAATAGTTCAGCCAAACCTGGACTGATTTAGGATATCTGATTTGGGGCAGAGGAAATAAAAGCAAGGACCAAATTTCAAGATTTTATTTCTTCTTTATTCTTCATAGAAATAGGAAATTCTCTTATGAAATTATTTTGATTTATAATACAAAGTTGATGATAATCAGTTGATTTTATTTCCATTAGATAATAATATTTTTAGTTCATCTGAAGATGACATTGTTGTTACCCCAATCACCCATGTATCCGTCACATTAGATGGGATTCCTGAAGTGATGGAAACTCAGCAGGTTCAAGAGACATATGCACGCTCACCGGGAGCCTCCTCACCAGAACAACCTAAGAGAAAGAAAGGTGGGTAATTAATTTGTTTAGGAGAAACAAGTCTTGATGTGGAATCTAAATATAATTTTTATTTAAGGACATTTCTATATCACTTAAAACATATAAGAAATTGACACAAAACATGTTAAGAGGTATTTGTCCATATTAGATTTCTTTTATAAAAAGTTCAATTATTTTACAAGTTTAAAATATTTGATCTTACAGAATAGGTATTTTACAACTTTTTAAAGCCTCAATCTTTTATCTAAACCCTTTAATCCATACTCATAAAGAACTTGGGGATAGAAGCAGGTCAGCTTACTCCCACAGGACATAGTTTGAAAATCACCAGTATAGTTACAGATTCCAGTATAATATTCTAGTGGGAAAAATATGAATTAGACATCAGCAAGTAAGTAGTTGAAGAGGGAAATGTTAGAATGTGTTAAAGGGGATTTTTAACTTTTCACAAATTAGGACCATTCTTACATTTTAAAGTCTAACACTCTTTCCATTTTACTGCATTATGATTCTACTCTAGCTTGTTTAATATTTTGAGTTTAATATCTTGGTTAATGGCATCACTACCAGCCACCGAGTAACCTAACTTCATGTAAAGTGGGAGAAATTCCAAGAGCCAAAAATGAAGAGGAAAATGAAAATGGTACAAATGAGCTGAAACTGTAGCAGTTCTGAAGGGCTGTAAGGATGTGTCTATCTTGCTATCCAGGCAGCTTGGATTTTATTGCTCTTGTAGAGGTGATGCCTAAGACTTGGTCCAGTACAATATGGGGTATTGGACAGAGACCTCAGCATATAACTGGGGTCCTCAGGAGAAAAACAATTGCCCACTGGCACAAACAGATGTCAGGAAGATTATATTTCTTAGTTGCAGCTCTGATTGGAAAAATTCTTCCTTTTAAAGTTCATAATCCTGTACCAGCCTTAACCTAGGTTTACAACTAGATTTTAAACCATCACTGTCTTTAGGAATTCCCAACCAAGTAATTTACATAAAGGAAAGCCTAGGCTAGAAATAACACTGGGACACCAGGCAGAAGTTCTTGTAAAATTGTTCTGGCAAATCATGTATTTAAACCAGGCTTCATCGGATTTCCTCAAATAAAACACTGTTGAAGGTGAACTCACATATCAGTGTCACAGAACATGTGAGGAAAACAATTCTTGAATGAGAAGCAGCAGACATAGAAAACCCTAGGGATAAATCTCTAAAACTTCAGGTAACAGAATTATCAAATAGATATGTTCAGTGAGTGTGTTTGCAGTCATTAAAGCAGAAGAATTTTTAAAAATTGTCAAAGAATAAGACTATTAAAAATACCAGGTAGAACTTCTTTTTCTAGTTAAGACAGAATAATAGAACCTGACTAGGCAACAATTTTTGGGATATGACACAAAAAAGCACAAGCAACAGAAGCAAAAATAAATATGCGAGATTACATTAAACTAAAAATATTCTGCACATCAAAAGAAACAATCAACAAAATGAAAGGGCAACCTATGGAATGGTAGAAAATATTAGAAAATCCGTATATTTAAAAAGGAATTAATAGCCAAACTGTGTAAGAAACTCATACAATTCAACAGCCCCCCCCCACACACACAAAAATCTGATTAAAAAATGGGCAGAGGACCTGAGTAGACAATTTTCTAAAGAAGACATACAAATGACCAACAGGTACATGAAAAGATGCTCAACATCACTAATCATCAGGAAAATAAATCAAAACCACAGTGCAATACCACCTGTCACCTGTTAGAATGGCTGTTGTCAGAATGGCAAGACATAACAAGTGTTAGATGATGTGGAGAAAAAGGAACCCTTGTGCACTGCTGGTAGAAGTGTAAATTGGTACAGCCACTATGAAAAACAGTAAGAAGATTCCTCAAAAGTTAAAAATAGAGCTACCATATGACCCAGCAATTCCTGTTTTGCATATCTACTCAAAAATGTGAAAGCATTTATTCATAAAAATATATGTACCCACGTGTTCACTGCAACATTATTCACAATAGCCAAGACATGGAAACAACCTAAGTGTTCTTTGATGGATAATTGGATAAAGAAGTGGTACATAGATACAATGGAATACTACTTAGCCATTTAAAAGTAATGAAATATGGCCATTTGTGACAACATGAATCTTGAGAGTATCATCCTGAATGAAATGTCAGATGGAAAAGGACAAGAACTGTATGACTTGACTCATATGTAGGATATAAAATAGAGAGCAACAAATGAACCAAGCCAAACAAGCAAACAAACTCATAGACACAGGCAACACTATGGTGGTTACTAGACGGGGAGCGGGGTGGTGAAAGGATGAAGAGGACAAAGGATGTCAAACATGGTGGCAGAAAGAAACTAGACTTTGGGTGATGAGCACACAATGCAATATGCAGAAGATGTGTTATAGAATTGTACACCTGAAACTTATTTAATATTATTAACCAGTGTTACCCCAAATTTAATTTTAAAAAATTAAAATAAAATGTATGTGTATATATATATATATGAATGGTTGGTTACATGTGAATTGGTAGGGTGGGGAAGGGTAAGAGGTAAATAATACAAAAGGGCACAATGTACTCTTGGAGCTAAAGAATATGTTAATTATCTCAAATGCACGATGGTTTCACAGATGTATGTATGTCAGAACTTAACAAATTATCAACTTTAAACATGTGTATGTGCAGTTTATTGTATAGCAGCTATAACTCAATAAAGCTGTTTTTAAAAAATAGATTAACATCCTACTTAATGGTGAAAGACTGATATGATAAGGAACCAAACAGAATGCATAATATATTGGTTAAATAGAAGAGTAGTCTCTGCTTAAGAAAGAATCATTGAGCTCCAATATAGATTGATAAAGACTAAAAAAAACACAAAAGAGTTAAAAATTTGAGGATTGAATGAAAAGGTCTCTATTTAGCCCTGGTTGAGTGGTTTAGTTGGCTAGATCATTGTCCTGTTATGCCAAAGTTGTGGGTTTGATCCCTGGTCAGGATGCATACAAGAATCAATCCAGTGAATGCATAAATAAGTGGAACAAGAAATTGATAACTCTCTATCTGTGTGTCTCTGTCCTCCTTCCTACCTTCTCCTCCTTCCTTCCCTTTTCCCTTTCCTCTCTCTAAAATCAGTAAACTAAAAAAATAATTTAAAAAAAGAAGAGGTCTCTATTTACTCAAAGCTCCAGGAAGAGAGACTATATAGAATAAGGAAGAGGCAATATTCAAAGGTAATGACAGACTATTCCAGAATGCTGTTAGTTCTAGCACAGTGAATCCTGAGTAGTGTAACTAAAATAAATGCATACCTAAATTCCCTATAGTAAAAATGCAAAACACCAAAGACAGCCTCTGCCCCCAAAAAAGAACAAACCAGGGAGAAACTATGTTACTTAAAGAGAATTGCTTATTAAATTGGCAGCTTAGAATCTCCCAGTAGAAACTGATACCTTTGAAGTATATGGACAAGAAATAATTGTCAATTAAAAGTTTTAGACTTCTGGCCAAGATGGAGACATAGGTGCCTCACATTTTGCCTCCTTGAACAACCAAAAGAAGGACAACAACAAATTTAAAAACAAAAAATTATCAGAACGGCTGGAAAATCCAACTATATGGAAGTCTGACAACCAAGGAGTTGAAACATTCATCCAGATGGGCAGGAGGGGTGGAGATGGGCAGCCGGCATGGAGAGATGCTTAGCAAGACGGTGGCTGGAGAACCCAGCAGTCCTACATTACATGCAGATAAACCAGAGGAATAGCTGGGGAGCAAGACGCACCACACAATCTAGGGTTCCAATGTGGGAAAATAAAGCCTCAAAACTTCTGGAGGTAAAAACCTCTGGGAGTTGTGGCGGCAGAAGAAACTCCCAGCCTCACAGGAGAGAGTCCATTGGAGAGACCTACAGGGTCCTAGAACGTACAAAAACCCACCCACCTGGGTATTAGCACCAGAAGGGCCCGATAGCTCATGGGTAGCGAGGGAAGTGACTGAACTGGCAGAGAGCCAAGCAATTGGCATTGTTTCCTCTCAGACCCTCTCCCCCACACACAACATCACAACACAGTGACCTGGCGAATACCTAAGACTTTGCCCCTTCCAACGTAGCAGGCATGCTGAGACAGAGAAATATGGCCCATTGAAAGAACAGATCAAAGCTCCAAAAAATAGAGCTAAGCAATGAAGAGATAGCCAATTTAGTTCAGATGCACAGTTCAAAACACTGGTAGTCAGGATGGTCACTGAATTGGTTGAGTATGGTTGCAAAATGGAGGAAAAAGTGAAGGCTATGCAAAGTGAAATAAAAATATACAGGGAACCAACAGTAAAGAAAGGAAACTGGGACTCACATCAACGATTGGGAGCAGAATGAAGAGATAAACATTCAACCAGGACAGAATGAAGAAACAAGAATTCAAGAAAATGAGGAGAGGCTTAGGAACCTCTGGGACAACTTTAAATGTTCCACCATCCAAATCATAGAGGTGCCAGAAAGAGAAGAGGAAGAGCAAGAAATTGAAAACTTATTTGAACAAATGATGAAGGAGAGCTTCCCCAATCTGATGAAGGAAATAGACTTCCAGGAAGTTCAGAAAGCTCACAGAGTCCCAAAGAAGTTGGACCCAAGGAAGCCTACACCAAGGCACATCATAGTTATGTTACCCAAGATGAAAGATGAGGAGAGAATCTTAAATGCAGCAAGAGAAAAGGGGACAGTTCTCTACAAAGGAGTTCCCATAAGACTATCAGCTGATTTCTCCAAAGAAACCTTGCAGGCAAGAAGTTTTCAAAGTCATGAAAGTCAAGGACCTACATCCAAGATTACTCTATCCAGCAAAGCTTCATTTAGAATGGAAGGGCAAATAAAGTGCTTCCCAGATAAGGTCAAGTTAAAGGAGTTCATCATCGCCAAGCCCTTATTATATGAAATGTTAAAAGGACTTATCTAAGAAAAAGATAAAAAACGATGACTAGTAAAACAAAGGGGAAGGGAGGAGGAAGAATGGGGGAAAAGGTACAGGGAATAAGCAGCATAAATAGTAAGTACAAAATAGGCAGGGGGAGGTTAAGAATAGTGTAGGAAATGGAGAAGCCAAAGAACTTATATGTACTACCCGTACAAGGTGGGGGAATGTTGGGGGATGAGGTGATATAGGGTAAAGGGGAATAAAGGAGAGGAAAACAGTGGTACAACTGTAATAGCATAATCATTAAAATACTAAAAAAAAGAAAAGATGAAATACTGCCATTTGTAACAATGGATACTGAGTGTCATGCTAAGTGAAATAAGTCAAATAGAAAAGGACAAGAATCATATGATTTCATTAATATGTGGGATATAAAACATAAAGCAGCAACTGAACAAAGAAGACAAACAATCATTTATATAGACAACAGTATGATGGTTATCAGAGGGGAAGAGGGTGGTGGAGGTTGAAGAGGGTAAAGGGGGTTAATAAATGGTAATGGAAGGAGACTAAACTTTGGTTATGAGCACACGATGCCATATACAGATGGTATAGACTTGTATACTTTATAATCATATAAATTTATTTGTATAAATTGATAAAAAAAATTTTTAATGCCCCAGCTGGTGTGGCTCAGATGCTTGGAGCATCATCCTGCAGACCCAAAGGTCACCAGATGATTCCCGGTCAAGACACATTGCCTGGGTTGCAGGTTCGGTCCCCATTTGGGGTACGTGCAAGAGGGAATTGATCGGTTTCTCTCTCATACCGATGTTTCTCTCCCTCTCATCCTTCTTTCCCCTCTCTCTAGAATCAATAAAAGAAAAAAAAATTATACCAAACTAAGCTACAATATAATTCACATAAAGCTTGTGTATATTGCCACCCTGAATGGTAAGGAAAATGATGGAGAGGATGGATATTGGGTAGGCTAGTGGTAGTGTCTGCCATGACTAAAACTAGCAGAAGACAACAATGGAATAAGGAAAATAGTAACTGTCAGGAAAAAAAACAGGTAAATATCAATAGAAAGCATAAAATGAGTGGTTAAGAGAGACAGGAGCTAACTGAATTCTTGTCTTCTAACACTTGTTATCATCAACACAATCAGCCAGAAGAAACTGCCTCATGAATGGGTTTTCTGCAGATGTCTGCAATGATGGAAGTCAGGACACCTGGCTGACTAGGTTCCACATTTATACATTTGGTAGTCGTAAGAGAGACCTGAAGAGTGACATTTTTGACCCTCTTCTCTCTGACTCTTGTTCATCATTGAGAGAGTCAGCCTTGAGAATGTTGGGGTAAGAGGTACTAACTCAAATACCCAATCATGCTTAGTATTTGTTGTTTCTCATACACCAAATGGTAGTGCGTTTGGACAGCAGGATTGTTTCTACCTAAATCATGCAGGCAGCAATGCCAACAAATTGTGGTTCTAGGTTAAGTGGCAAAAGAAGATTTCAACAAAGCTTTAGGGTAATTAGTTGATCCAGATCAAGGCTGCACAAAATACAGTTTGACACTGTTGGAATGGACTTGTTTAGAGATTGGATGATGGATAACCATAAAGTTTGTTTGTTGTAAACAGAATGAAATAAAGAAAAATGAGATGTTTTAAAATACACAGTAAAGTAAAAACTGACTATGTGGTTCATCAAAGTGTTTGCTTCATTCATTTTTTTATGTAGATTTGGGGCAGTTTTCAGTATTTGAGAATTGTTCAGAGATGTATTTAGAAGAGAATAAAGATAAAAATTCACTTTTCCTACCTTAAAAAGCTTATGTAAACCAACAGCAGACAAACCTTTATGGTATATTTTTTTAGCTCAAGTTTTATCAGAACATTCCCCTGAATTTTAAGAAAGCACTGTCAGTATTGTCAACTCAAAGGCAAGATGCAATGTTTTAAACTTAACCTCATGTTTACAAATCATACAAAATACCATTTTCAGACTGTGTGTGATTTAACCTACATCAATGTTAAATTTTTACTGAAAGGAAGATTTCCTTTTGGTAAATAGCATATATGGAGACCAATATATATGATCTTAGTGTAAAGTGTTTGACACTTGAAATTTAGGATAAAGGAAAAAATAGAAATTATAAATACCTAAATTGTGCACTCTTTCACACTTTTGAGGGTGAATATTTATGAAAAGCTGTTTTGCTTTCAGGGAGAAAAACTAAACCACCACGACCAGATTCCCCAGCCACTACACCAAACATATCTGTGAAGAAGAAAAACAAAGATGGGAAGGGTAAGTGCTACTGTAATTTCCCTATAATACTGACAAGTCAAATAACATTCAGATTTCTTTAAAATGTCTTTATATTGTAAGCAGAGACCACCAGCTTTCTTGACATATTTAAAGTGGATCTTATTGCTGCCACACACTAATAAGATACAGTTGCCATTTTCTGTAAAGAGCATGGTAATAATGTAGCCCAAGAAATTCATTTAAAAGATTTTTATTCACCTGTTAAAATAATCCATCCATTTAATAATGAGTCTCTTTGAAGAGCTAGATTAGGTTTTCAGTGTAAGACATTTTATTACATTGTGTTAGAGTTCTAGTATTTTAGTAACTGCTGCCCAAATTTGAAGAAAATTGTTATGGCTAATCCACTGGCTCTAATATAAAGAGAATAACTATTGAAAGGTTTTGTCCAAGTGTTTTTCACTGTTTTTTTATGTAATGGTTCTTAAAGAAGTGGGGGGGGAAATCTTCTCAGAGTGCTTTCTCCCTAAGTCATCTCAAATCTAATTAGCAAGATTGCTCTGTTGCAATATCTTATGTGAGACTAATAAAAAGTCTATATTAGGCCCTAAAAATTATAACTATTATATTATCAATACTAACTGAATTGTGTGATATTTTGGTATAGCTATTGATGGAACTTACAAGATTTTTAGTTGTGTTTTATTGTGCTCTTTCAAATGAAATTTTGGTCAGTTTAAAAGAAATTGCTTCTGTTTCAGGAAACACAATTTATCTTTGGGAATTTTTACTGGCACTCCTCCAGGACAAAGCTACTTGTCCTAAATATATCAAATGGACACAGCGAGAAAAAGGCATTTTTAAATTGGTAGATTCTAAAGCAGTATCCAGGTTGTGGGGGAAGCACAAAAACAAACCTGATATGAATTATGAGACCATGGGAAGAGCTCTCAGGTATGTGAAATTTTTGTAGTTCATTGTGTTAAGAATATAATTTCCTAAACTCTAAAAGATAGTTAATTTCTAAAAAGTTAAGAATTTAAAAAATGGTGGATTTTATTTGTTGAAGTGCTAAAACCATACTACTTATAGAAATCAGTGTGCATTTAAATTGAAATCTTACTTCAATCTTGAAACTGTTTGCCTTCCAAAAAAGATTTTGATGCGAACAATAGATATTTTATTTATAAAGGGATCATAAACATGTTAAGGTGTCATCAGGTGTTGTAAATTGACCACAGGCCTCGTATGTCTTGAGCCATGAAGCTTAAATTTAACACAAAGTACAAATAGGGGTGATGGAGGTACTTAACAAGGGGTGCATTTTTAAAAATATATCTCAGGTGTGATATATAATGTTTTATGGTGGAATAAATTATTGCTTTGAGGATAATGTTAGACATTTTCAACTAGGGTATCATTTTATTTTTCAACTCACTTTTAGCTTTTCTGTAATCATGTGAAGATATGCATGTATTTGAGAAAGATTTATTAGAAATAGCAATAATACAGTAACTTGATAACCTTCTTAAACTATAACTATTTAGTTTATTTTTTTAACTTACACTTTTTGGTTACTAATTTAATTAAAATTACTGACAAAATTTTAATTCTTTCTATTTGTACATTATTAAATTTTATATAGAAAACTGAATTAAGTTTACGGAATCAAATTTAAACTGGTAGGGACATTATAGGAAACTATGGAAGAGAAATAGTTTCTTGAGGTTGGTACTAGATTTTATTATTCCAACAAATTAGCAGGAGGGTAGGGGAAGAAATAAAAATGAAGGCTAGAATAATCCATGTACTTTATCAACAATCCCTTAATAAGAATTGGTTTTAGATTTAGTCGGTAATAAGGACTTGGCTCTATGAGTAAATGTGTTTTACATATATTTAAAAAATAATGTTCTCATTGCACTGTCTTATATAAAATAACTTCCCTTGATTTATTTTTTATTTTTTTAAAGATTTTATTTATCTTTAGACAGAGGGGACAGGAGAGAGAAAAAGAGGAAGAGAAACATCAATGTGTGGTTGCCTCTTACACACCCCCTAAGGGGGACCTGGCCTGCACCCAGGCATGTGCCGTGACTGGGAATCAAACCAGCAACCTCTTGGTTCACAGGCTGGTGCTCAATCCACTGAGCCACACCAGCCAGGGCATAACTTCCCTTCATTTAAAATGTCTTTTCTCACTTGTTTTTTTCCAACTTTAAATTTTAGTTTATGATTAGGAAATTTTTATTTTGGTGAATATTATTTTAATTTGTTCAATTAAATAAAATATTGGTGAAATTGTCTGTTTTGAATAGGTACTATTACCAAAGGGGTATTCTGGCAAAAGTAGAAGGTCAGCGCTTGGTGTATCAGTTTAAGGAAATGCCAAAGGATCTTATTTATATAGATGATGAGGATCCAAGTTCCAGCATAGAGTCTTCAGATCCATCACTGTCTTCAACAACCACTTCAAGCAGGAACCAAGCAGGCCGATCAAGAGTATCGTCAAGTCCAGGGATAAAAGGAGGAGCCACTACAGTTCTAAAATCAGGGCATTGTAAAGCTACAAAAAGCAAAGATCCTGTGGAAGTCACGCAGCCGTCAGAAGTTCTGAGGACAGTGCATCCCGCACAGTCTCCGTATCCCACCCAGCTCCTCCGGACTGTGCATGTAGTGCAGCCAGTACACACTGTCCAAGAAGGAGAAGCAGCCCTCATCAGCTGTGTGCAGGATGAAACGTTAAATTCTTCCGTTCAGAGTATTAGGTGAGAAAACTAAAGTTTACTGATGTGTATTCTTATGTGACATACCTGACCAGAGCCATTTTTTGTTAAGTGGGTCAAGATTCAGAGTGAAAATAAACATGATAAAGATTTCAAGCTAGAACTTTTATTCAACAGATCATTTCAGCAGCAGTATATTATCCATTATATCAGACCTCTGACTGTATCAATGTTTCCTTTATTTTTATACTTTGACATTACTTGATGTTATTCTATCAGTTTAAGTCTAATCCATTATACCCTATTGTAATTGGATTGATCCATACAATAAGGGATCCACATAAAAGAAAACCAAAGAGTGGTTTTAGATTTTTTTCAAAGTCAGAATCTGTAAAAATTCAACAATAATGGACATATCATGACCTTTTGGAATATATTAAGTTTGAAGAAATAAACATTATTCCTTTGGAAAATCTTTTATGGAACAATTAGCTTCAAAGTTCAAACAGGTATGGAGGCCAAGAATCTAAGGTCCTCTTTGTCAGGCTTTCGAGGGCAGAAGTTGGCTTAATCAAATCAAATTTGCTTCATAACCTCAGGAGAGGTAGGAAACAACAGATTGACTAGAAATGCTGTCTGCTTTAGCGTGGTGTTTTGCAGAAATAATGGGACTGGTTTTGGCTGATTTAGAATGGGGAAAAGGGAGAGAGGGAGAAAATTAGATACATGTTTGCAACATTCAATTTCTCTGTTTCTTCTGTCAAGAATTTTCAGAACATGAATTATAATAAATATAGGAACCCTTTCAAATCTAATAAAAATGATTCTTTGATTACTTTCATTAATCAGCATCAGTATTATATTTGTATATTACAGAACATGAATGCTGGATTTTTCTTGAGTCTACCTTGAAATAAGCAAACATTACCTAGAATTAAGATAGACTTGGTTCAGTCTTTCTTGTATGGTCCATTTAAACCTTTGACATTGGAAAATACAAATTCTTTTAGAATCTTTAATGGACTTGCAAGGAATATAACGATCACTTTTGTTTTTCATTTTAATGGACAGGAATTATACATCTTTAGCTGACATTAAAGAAGTACTTATTTAGCTCTGTATTTCCTTTTAATGTTTTATTTATCTTCAGATGGTTACATGTGATGACTGATGATGTAATTGGAAGAATGTGATTCATTCCACTGGTTTCTAGGCTCTTTGTTGTCTTATTGTATGTATTTGTATTGAGAAGAAACATGCAATGGCCACAGCTAATCACTGGAACCCCCTTTTTGGAGTCATTTAGTGTTTTTTTAGCATCTGTAATCAAAGTTTCCTTCACAGACCTTGAGAATAACCCCTTCCAAACAAAAAAACAAAAAACCAATCCGCACCTGCCTATTTCTGAAATATATTAAATTGTGATATTATATTGAGTACTTTATTACTCTGAATGTCAGTTTCTCAATAAGACTCTGTACCAGATATGAAAATATTGTTAATTATCTTTGATGTACCTTTCAGAATTTTCACTTCAAGGTCCTTGATAGTTCTGTGGACTCTGACTGCTCCTTGCCTTTAATAATTTGTCTCTTTAGTCCAACCTATATATTAGTACTACTCATAGCTCTGTTATGTTACCTTCTTCCAGTTTTTGTTGGATCTATGTTGCACACAGAGTGCAGTACAATTTCTGTGGCCTTAGCTGCCAGCTCTCACTCTCTGCACATAATTCTTTCCTTGTTCCTCTGCTGAAGCTGTCTGCTTGCCTTTACTTCAGTCTAGTACATAGACCAGGTGTTTCATTTTACTTTAATGCCTGTCTCCTATATATTTAAATCTGTAGGAACCAGATATTATTTATTGTCCTTTTCCTAGCACCTAACATGATATCTGGCATATAACATTCCATACTTACACAGTTTATTTTGAAGCAGTGAATATATTCATTCTTTAATCTCCTCAAAGAGCAATGAGTTCTCTAAGTGGACTACTTATAGAATGAATTAATACAAAATTTAATTTTTTATACTTTAATTTCTACATTAAGGAGGTATGTTTTATTCCATATGTGTTTGCATGTATATATGTATGTATTCAAATACATTCTTAATCATTCCTTTTCTTTAAAAAAAAAAACATTCTATTATCTGGTTATATATTTTATTTCCCACCCCAAAATCAAATTTTAAAGTAGTCACAGCTTTAATTGAATGCATTTTATTCCCTAAAATTATTAGCAACACTAATGCAAAGCAGAAGTTAATGAATAGCAACACTCTTTGAACACTGACAGCTGCTGAATATAATTATTCAGGTTTTGCTATTATGTTGTTTCTTTCTTTTATGTGGAAGGAAAGTAAAAGTGTTAAGTAAGTTTCAAGCACATTGTTCATAACTCTGAAATTTTAACATATTATTAGACTAGTTTTTCATTAGATTAATCTCTTGTTTAGTGATTTCTTTTTAATTTGCATTTTTAATTACCCTTTTTATTGTGAAAAAATTTTCAGTATAATAAAAAATTGAAATAGTATAATGAATACCTATTTACCACCCACCTAGATTTTAATGGATAGCTCTTTGCCTTACTTGTTTTCTCTCTATTTTTTTATGGTTGGCAATTTGTCAAGTAAGTTGACATCATTATGGCATTTCACCCCTAAAGATTTCAGCCTTCAACTTTTCCTTAAAAGAATAAATAGAGACATTATCCTAAATAACTATATTATCACTTGGAAGAAAATTAAAAAATAATTTGGCTGGTTTTTTTTTTATTTTATGACTACTTAAAATAAAATCAAAGACCTTTTAAAGATTTTTTTCTGTAGTTGAAAGAAGGAAGAATACACATGACTTAATGTACAACAAGAGCTGATGTTAAAAAACACTGTATTTTGTACATTTTACATATATTAACATATAAAATTCTCATGCTCTGTGAGGTGTAGGTAATATTATTCCTTTTTTACAGGTGAGGAAACTGAGGCAAGGAGAGGCCAAGGAGCCTGGTCACCTCTAGTAAGTGGTGGAGACAGTGTTTTAATGCAAGAAGTTTAGTTCAAAGCAGTGGCTTAATGATTTCCCATTCTGCTTGTTGATGAACATAAATCACATGAATTATCAGTTATTTACAATGAAATAGGGATATGTTTTTTATTTTCTCAAATCCTTTGCTCACTTATTTTTATCTCACATAATTGCATGTATTTATGTTGAAATCGATTAAGCTTTTCTTAATTGATTTATGGTATATGTGATCTGGTTTTACAATTTTAATTTTGACTCTGGCTTCATGTTATTCAAAGAAATAACAAAAATAAACCCCTGGCAAAATATATTCCTAAAATTGTCTCTTGATAAACTTGGAAGTTCATATACCTACCTAGCATAACTTCTATTTCTTTAATATTTATTCAAGCACTAAGATTAGCCTCTAAAAATGTATAATGTATAAATTACTTTAAAAGCAGTGTAATGGAGCCCTCCTGCCTTGTGAATTATTAAATTTAACATGGAATTCTATTAACTAACTATTCTGAGTCTGTTTTCTCATCTACAAATAAAGATGATAATAACCTTACAGAAAGTTATAACAGTTAAAAGACACTTCCTGACATCTGAGTATAGATACTCAGTAAAGCTAACTGTTAAACAGTCCTGCACCACATAATGGATGTGTATATGGTGGTGTGGAGCTGAATTTCCTGTAAAAAATGGAAGGATATGTGCTTCAGGAGGAATTTTTTTTTTCCTTGAAGGGAACAGTATTTGTGGAGCTTGGCAATACATTCACACTTGCTCAGAGTACCTCAGTTTTGAGCCTACAGATTACATCCTACGCAGACACTGACCTTTTTCAGCACAGAGGAACCTGTCCCCCAAGTTGTTGCTTATTCAGAAGGTGCTACAACCCTCTCAAATCTAGCTTGATCATCTTCAGAATACATTGCTGTAAATTCTTTGTTAAGGACCTAAGATCCTGTATAAGGACACAGGTCCACAGGAGCTACCTTAACAAGTATTAAGTATCACTGCCACTTTAGAAAAAGCTTTCTGTGGTAGTGTGGAACCTGTCTGCTTTGGAAATGTTTTAAGGTTGTAATGATGAAAAGTATAGATAGGTTTTATTTCTTCCTGATTCAATGACAGAGAGAGCCCTTTGTGCCAGATAGGGTCATGGAACCAAAAACAAATTTTCAAAGTCAAAATACTGAGTCCTCAGTTCTACATCCTTTCCATGTTAAACAATTTTTTTTTTATCCTCATCCAAGGGAGAGAAATACTGATATGAGAGAGAAACATCAATCAGTTACCTTTTGTACACACCTCTACTAGGGACCAACCTGCAGCCCAGGCTTGGGTCCTGACCAGGAATCAAGCCCGCAACCTTTCGGTTTACAGGAAGATGCTCCAACCAACTGCACCACACCTGCCAGGGCCAACCTCTTTTTTTTTTTTTTTTTTTTAATGAATACCACAGAATTTTTTAATCTGACCACTGCTCCAACGTTTAATAGCCAAAAAAGCCACATTGGCATGACAATCCCCTATGTTCCTTTATCTCTCAATCTTGATTTCTTATTCCTACTAATCCTCAGGCCACAGTTTACTCCCTCCTGTCAGTCACTATTCTAGTGATCTGTGCATTACCCAGCCAGTTTCTCCTCATTATTTCCAATCAGTTCAGCCTACATCTCTGTTCATGGAGCAACATTGACATCTTCAGTGTTCTATTTCTGAACCTTTTGGAAAGAAATAGGGGAAGGGTTTGTGGGACAGTGTTTATAAAGCCTACAGTAGTGTTCAGTAATCTAGTGTGTAGTAATGTCCTAGGCCTTCACATTGTCTCACCACTTACTGACTCACCCAGAGGAACTTTCAGTCCTGTTAGTTCCCGTCATGGTATGTGCCCTATACTGGTGTACCATTTTATCTTTTATACCATATTTTTACTATACCTTTCTGTGTTTAGATACACAAATACCATTGTGTTCAGTTGCCTACAGTATTCAGTACAGTAATATGCTGTAGAAGTTTGTAGCCAAGGAAGAATAAGCTATACCATATACTCTAGGTATATGGTAGGCCATACCTAGATTTATGTCAGCAATTTTCAACCTTTTATATCTCATAACACACATAAACTAATTACTAAAATTCTGTGACATACCAAAAAGTATATGTTTTGCTGATCTGACCAAAAATAGGTATAATTTTGATTGACTTACAAAAAATAAAATAAGTAATTACATAGCCCTTTTGCTCCAAAGTGACTTTTGAAAATATCAGGTGCCTATACTTGGATGAAGGATTTCTGATAGTAACAATTACCCAATTAAATACAGCCTTATTATGCCATGTGACCAATACAGTGCAACTTTATTACTTATATATTTATGATTCAATACAGGGCATTCACACTGATCAGCTATTGTTGTGTTGGTTGTTGTCATTTTTTAATTTGATAATCTAAAGGGAAAGAGGTCGGTGCCCCTGACTAAATAGTCAGATATTGCATGTTTTAAAAATTCTTGTGGCACACCAGTTGTAAATGGCTGATTAATGTAAATGCACTCTATGATGTTTGCACAACTACACTGAATAATGATGCATTTCTCAGAATGTATCCCTGTCATCACACAATGCATGACTGTATTGTATATCTTTCTTAGCTTCAGAAAGTTTGAAGAATTTTAAATTACCAGTATTTTACCAGCTGCTTACAAGAAGCTTAGGAGATTTTTAAAAAAGAGTTAATCATAACATAACTTTTTTAAAATTTTTTTTTATTGTTCAAATACATTTGTCTCCATTTTCCCACCACCATTTTCCCCTGCCCCACCTACCCCCACCTCCCACCCTCAATTCTTCCCCACTTTGGCTTTGTCCATGGGTCCTTTATACATGATCCTTGTATTGACTCTTCCCTTTTATTTCCCCATTACCCCCCTCCCTCCTTCCCTCTCGTTACTGTGGGTTTCTTTTTTCTTTCAATGTTGCTAGTTATATTTTTCCTTGCTTGTCTGTATTGTTGGTTAGGTTCCACTTATAGGTGAGATCATATTGTATTTGTCTTTCACCCCCTGGCTTATTTCACTTAGCATGATACTCTCCAGTTCCATCCATGCTGTTGGGAAGGGTAGTAGCTCTTTCTTTCATTCTGCTGGGTAGCATTCCATTGTGTAAATGTACCATAGTTTTTGATCCACTAATTTATTGATGGGCACTTACATTGCTTTCAGCACTTGGCTATTATAAATTGTGCTGCTATGAACACTGGGATGCATAGGTTCTTTTGAATTGGTGTTTTGGGATTCTTAGGGCATAATCCCAGCAGTGGAATTGCTGGGTCAAAAGGCAGTTCCATTTTTAGCTTTCTGAGGAAATTCCAAACTGTTTTCCACAGTGGCTGCACTAGTCGGCGTTCCCACCAACAGTGCACTAGGGTTCTCTTTTCTTTACAACCTCGCCAGCACTTGTTCATTGATTTGTTTATGATGGCCACTCTGACTGATGTGAAGTGGTATCTCATGGTGGTTTTAATTTGCATTTCTCTGATGGCTAGTGATGCTGAGCATCCTTTCATATGCCTCTGGGCCCTGTTTATGTCCTCCTTGGAGAAGTGCCTGTTCAGGTCCTTTGCTCGTAACATAACCTTTTTTATGTAGTATAATTTCACCAGATGCAACTGAAAGCTTAATTATTAACTAAGAAAAATATTAAAAATTCCTGTGGTTGGGAAAAGGCTACATAATATTTTATTCTTTAATCTTTGAATTTTTTTATTAATGAAAATTGTTTTAGAATTTGTCTAAATAAACCAGTATATTTACATTGCACATAAGTATATATATTTCCTGGGAGATCACAATCAGGTATTTCAATAAAGGGACATTTTTTCTAATTTGAACAAAGTCTAGTGTTAGCTCTGATTAGCAATGAGGAAAACTTCCAAGCAGTTTATTGCTTGTGCCACAAATAAGAGAAGGAAAGAGGAACAGAAGAGAGGTGTATTAAAGATTTGTAAGTGTCTACAGTTTAAAGATATAAATATTCATCTTTAGCTGAAATTATTTGAAAACTTAGGAAATGACAGTGTGTTGTAATGGTTAAGCACATAGGCTCTACAGTTGGATGGCCTTTTATCTCACTGGTCACCTTATGCAAACTCGTCAACTTTGTGCATTGTTTTCCACATGTAAAATGGGGATGAGAGCTACAAGGCTACAGAGCTGTAAGGCTGTAAATATTTATAGATGCAATCTGTATGCTTACTGCATGCCAAATACTATTTTATCTGTATGTACATGTACATGAACTCTTGGCTTGGGAAGCCCTTGGATCTTTTTTATTTAAAAAATGGTATATAGCTGTAGCTGCAGGTACCATACCCAGGCTCAGATTCCACAGAAGATAATGCTGATCCAGGTGGGCAGGGGGAAAGGGAGGCACAGTGTATCTTCAAAAAGTTCTCTAGCTCCCAAAGTTATTCTTTATCCTTCCATTTCATTCTTGCCCGCACAATAATACTAGTACATCCAGCCTTTATTCTTAGCCACACCCTCCCACCTATTATTTCTTCCTTCCTAACTTACAGTCTCTTCTAAAGCTGTCCTTCATAAGAGCTGCTAATATTCTGCTGTAGACTGATCCTGACAATGGTGACTTTGGTGGAAATCTGAACTTGGGAATCAGTATTTTGCATGAATGGGTGGGCTCTAAGTCACCCTGTATCTTTCCACTTCCTTTGAAATTCTGAGTTACATTCAGTCTTTTTTTCATCTTTCTACGTAGGACATTTGTTTTCTCCTGCACAGTTTCATTTCTTACATATGTGACAGGCCACATAACTGGAATTCACTAAAATTTACCTTGTAGTAATCTGGCAATAGTTAACATTTGGTTTATGGGGACCAATCTAGCTGTTAACAATTTGAAGTAGCAATAACTTATCTTTTGTAAAATAGTTTTATAAAATTCAGAGGAAGCACAATTGAGATCCACAGGCTGAGTTTTTTAAACTACATTTGTTTTTTTATTAACAGTGGCTGTAAATACAAATTTCACAGCTGCAAACTTTTAAAATTTGATTAATTCTATCATTTATGCACCTCATTATTCAATAAGTGGAATTAACAACCTTATATAAAATGGATTTTATGTTAAAAGATTTTGTATTAAATTGTAGCTATTGATTAAACTTTTTGACAACTATTGAGCTGAGAAAACTGCTAAAACACACCCCAATTTACCAAAGCTCGTCTTTATTTTTCTCTGCCAGCCTGAAGAACCTCACAAGGTAATTACATTCATGGCTTGTGTTATGTAACATGATAGAAACTGAACTGTTAAAATTCTTTGATAATTCTGTCACATGAATTTAGGGCCAAGGTATTTTTTATTTTAGTTAATCAAACATTTTCCCTCTTTCTGTATAAATAAACAGGTTGATAACAATTCTCATCATATGAAGTTTGATAATTGTGGATGAGTATGTTGATGTCATCATCCCTCAAATATTAAAATGCCATATTTTGCCATGTATAATATGCACCCATGTTTTTGACCCAGACTTTCAGGGAGAAAAAAGTCTTTCATTTTAATTTTTTAATTCAATTTTTTATTAATTTATATTTAGATACTTGTTTTTTGTATTATAAAGGAATTTTAGCCCATATTTTTGAACATATTATTGTATAAGAAATTGCATGTAACAAATAATTACAAAACAGAAGAACAGATACACGGTACAAAAAATTTTATATACCAGTAACAAATTAGTACTATCCACGTATAATGCGTATCCTTATTTTTCCTTCAAAAATTTAGGCACAAGAGTGAGCATTATATATAGAAAAATACGGTAATGAGAGTGATTCACTACATTTCTTTTAAAATTCCTAATTTTCTTTCAAGCAGCTCATACATAACTTCCTTGCTAAACATTTTGATATCTTCCTCCTTCCCCAACAAAATTGCTTCCCCATTTGTGTTAATGTAATACATTTTTATCCGGTTACTATCATAGTTAATGGCCTGAAAATTTTGTGTTGGACATTTCTGTATGTACAATGTTTACTATGGAGCCCGGCATGATGTTTGTTCTGTTGTGTTAAAAATATGGGTTCAATGCTATGGCATTTGAAATATTTTGTCAAAATGACTTGTCAATATTGAAGTTTTAAGTGATGTGGACTGTGTTAATTTTCTCACTTTTATTTCCTGATCTCAATAGGACTATACAGGCTCCAGCCCAAGTTCCAGTGGTTGTATCTCCTGGGAACCAGCATTTGCACACAGTAACACTCCAGACAGTGCCAATCACAACAGTTATAGCCAGCACAGATCCATCGTCAGGTGCTGGGTCTCAGAAGTTTATTTTACAAGCCATTCCATCATCACAGCCCATGACAGTACTGAAAGAAAATGTCATGTTACAGTCTCAGAAGCCAGGCTCTCCTCCTTCAATTGTCTTGAGCCCTGCTCATGTACAGCAGGTTCTCACTAGCAATGTTCCATCTGTTTGCAATGGAACTGTCAGTGTGGCTTCATCTTCATCCTTCAGTGCTACTACGCCTGTGGTGACCTTTTCTCCTCGCAGTTCACAACTGGTTGCCCACCCACCTGGCACTGTAATTACTTCAGTTATCAAAGCTCAAGAAACAAAAACTCTCACACAGGAAGTAGAGAAAAAGGAGGTTGAAGATAATTTGAAAGAAGACACTGAGAAGACTGAACAACAGCCACAGCCTTACGTGATGGTGGTTTCCAATTCTAGTGGATTTGCCTCTCAGGTAGCTATAAAACAAAATGAACTGCTGGAACCCAACTCTTTTTAATTAAAATACCAAAAGAATTATGGCTTTTTTTAATTGAACATTTCTAATTGAATGCAAACTATCTGATTCTAAGACAATTTCTAAAGATGTTACTAATTTTGTAGTTGTTAAAAATAATAGAGTTAATTTTGACTTTGTTAGATGAGGGAGGAAAACCAAAGTGTTTTTCTTGGTTCGCCAAATGTTTCAGAATTCAGTTGTGAAGCAATAGGCGTTTTGTACTATGAAGACATTCTTTTGAGATTTTTTTTCAGTTGTGCTATATCATAAGCATTTTTAAAGTTCTTTTTAAATTTTACATTGTATTACCTTTTCTTATTCTTTTGTAAATACAGTACTTACATAGAAGATAACAGGAAATTTACATAGGAACTATTTTCATTCCACTTGTGTAAGTTAAGTCATGACTCTTTCAAACGCAAGTCACCTATTTTATGCTTTATTAAAATTATGGTTTCACTAGATTGACTTTTAGTTGGTTGCACTGTATATTGAACTATGAATATGTAAAATATAACATTAAAAATTGCAATATTCCCATGGTATGGCTGAACCTGTTTCAGAAGCAGGATAGTGTAAAAACGTCAACCTAAGAGTGGCTCTCCTACTAACTAGTTTTGTAACCTTGGGCAAGCCACTCGTTCTTTTTGGCTTCAGTTCTCTCATGAAAGGAAGGAATGAATTTGGATTAGACTAGATGATCTTAAATTTTCTTTCTAGTTCTAAATTTCATGATTCCAACTCTTATATTTTAAAATTATATCAATTAAAACATTATCAGCCTATTTCCTAATGTAAGTATAGCTAAAACATTGCAAAAAAATAAGTGGCCATACAAAATTTATTCTTCTATTATTTGTAAGATTGCTATAAAACTGAATTCTTCCTAAATACTTTGTTCATTAACTCTTTAGGCCGTTGTGCACAGTGGTCCATTAGTAAACTTACATTGCTGAGTGCTAAATGATAAACTGCTGTTCTGAAAGAGTCAAGATTCTTTCTTAAAGGCCCAGAAAGCAACCAAGCCCTGGGCTACTGTTTGAGTAGTCAGTTGCTATAAAAGCGTAATTGCTTTATATTTTGGATCTTTTTTTTAAATTGGGAGTGGGGGAGATTGCATACAAAGATAATATACATATATATCCAAGTTTCTGAAATAAGTTTTAGATTGCTTTTTCAACTGTAAATAATGTACATTTAATTTCACAAAAAAATTGTTTTCTGCAAATTTTCTAGTATAAGAAAGAAATTTTTGTAGATGAAAAAATCATTTTGTTTAGAGGTATAATGTTATATGTTTTCATATTACAGAGTGAATTTGTATTTAAACAAAAATTTAAATTTTGGAATCCTCTAAACATTTTTGTACCTTAAATTGGTTTATTATTAAATAAATCATGTAAAAATTCTCAATGTTTGTGTTTTCAAGCAAATGTTTCATAAGAACAAGTATACAGAAAATGTTGCTAGTATTTACAGTGTTAGTGAATGTTTATATAACAAACTCCATTAGTCAGAATTGCATAATGTCATCCTCTCATTTTTCCTTTCAGCCATGCCAAATGGCAGTTTCACACAATGGATTACAATGCTCTAAAAATTAGATAACAATAAAAATGTTCCCAGTGATAATATTAAACATAATTTTAAAAACAAGTTTTCTAATTAGAAATTATATCAGTTAATTGGTTAGCAGAATGGAATAGAATAAGAGAAGCAAAAAATATAAGAAAATTAAAATCTCAATCCTGTACCCCTATATCCAGAAGTTACTTTCACTTATTCATTTTCTCATGTCAGTTAATATTTTTCCAAAATATAGTTTTTAAAGGAGCATTCTTACCTCTATAGATGGAGAGATACTGAGGAGGATCTGAATGAACAGGCTTTGCTGAGTTTCCCCAGTTCACTGCCCTTTACTCATGCCCTTTTGTTCTATTGTTTTTTCAACAACTTTCTACTCTTCATCAAACGTAGCATAAAAACACTCATGCTTAACCATTTCTTTGGATCTTCATTTCCTTCCTTCAAAGGCTTCCATGTCACATAAAACTAATATTAAATAAATTTGCATGTTTTCTCCTCTACAGTTTTCTCCTCCCCCAGAACTCTCTCTAGCCATGTATCCCCTAAGATAATCTCATCATACTGACCAACTGAACAGGAGCATAGCTCTCACGAGTACTTGGCCTTTGTACATCAAATCATTATTTCAACGTGTATTTGTTAAGGAGACACACCTGTGATATTACTATCACTATCCTTAACCTATGAACCTACTGCTTTTCTTACTTTCTGTTCATTCTTTAATCCTATTTAGTATTGCATTTGCCCTCTACTGTTGCAAAAGTCACTAAATAGTAATCAATTCCCATATGCCCAGATTTCCATTCTTCTCTTCCTTGACCTCTCCAGCATTTGATAACCTTTTATAACTCACTCTTCCTTTAAACTCTCTATTACCTTCACTTTAGAGCCCAACTACTTCATGTCTTTCTCCTGCCTTTATAGTAACTTCTCAACGTTCCTTTTGAGTTTCTCCAGGAACTTTTACAAAAGTTGGATCACCCTCAGGTTTTACCTATGGTCACTGTTCTTCTCATTCTCTTTGCTTCACTTTGTCCGCCTCCAGTCTGTTCTCAACACAACAGCAGTACCAGTTTAATTATGTCAAGCCCTTCAATGGTTCCTTACTGTCCTCGAATACGAGGGCAGTACCTTACTGTCCTCCGAGTCAAGGTCCTGCACAGTGTCACCTCTTCTTAATCCTGCCAGTCTTATCTTTAAAATTTACTCGGCAAATCACACTGTCAGGATTAGGATTCTTTAAATTGCAAGAAATAAAACCCAATTCAAAATAATTAAGTAGAACAAAACAAGAAATCTGAAATTAGGAATTTTCCAGGTTGGTTAATTCAGGAGCTCAGTGGCAATACTAAGCAACAAGATTTCTTCCATTTTTCTGCTTTACCATCCTCAGGATTTTGCTTAAGTTGCCAGGATGACTCTTGCCATGGTTGCGAGATAACTGCTATAGTTCCTTATATGTTTCCATTTATCAGTAAGAACAGCCTTTCCCAGAACACCCTGAGCAGTCATTTCTTCACAGCTTATTGACTAGATTGGTCATATACCACTTAAGCCAATTACTGGCCAGAGAAGCAGGATTACAGACTTAGTCGTGTTGGGAAGATGGATAGCCAAACAAAACTGGGTCCCCATAGCATAGCAAGGACTAAGGGTGGAATGATGCAGCCCGCTACTACCACTATCACGCATACATGTTTCTTCTTACACATACACTTTCAAAAATGTTCATAACTACAGGAAACACATTCTTCCCAAAGGGAGGTTAGCCAAGTATTCAGTTGCTTGACCCAGTTTCACAAGGCTCATCAAGGTGATGTGCGGCCCTCTTTATGAAATAAGCTGTGTCCCCCTCCTTCTTGTCCTCCACAGCCACATCTAGTGTGAGCACTGGTGAGAGACCATTCAGTTGGTTGCCTTCTCGTACATGCCCTGACTAGGGATTGAACTCGCAGCATGGGTATGTGCCCTGAATGGGAATGGAACTTGCAACGCTTTGGTTATGAGATGACACTCCAACCAACTGAGCCACACCAACCAGGGCTAGAATACACTTCTTGATGGTGTAAATTTGATGCCCTGACTTAGGGTCCCCACTTTCCCAGCACTGTGTCCTTAGTGCTTTCCATTCTGCCTCTTCCATCTGGCTTGTTATACATACTCGGGTCTATTTTGTAGTATTCCACTTCCAAATACCAAATTGTCAGTTTGGGTTCTTGGTCACTAGCAACAGTGATAGATTCTGGTTTTAAGCATAAAAGGTTTTATTAGAATATTGTGCAGCTCACAGAATAGACAAAAAGGTATAGAGAATCAAGGTTAATCTTAAGTCACATAGCTAGGAACAAATTGCAAAACTACACTGCACAACTGGTCAGGTGAGGAAATTGTAGCCACTGTTGCCAAGCATTAAACACTGAATTTTGTACCACTGTCTCTACTATTAGAGAAATTTTATTTTGATACAAATGGTACTTCACCTAGAGAGTATTAACCAAGGTTCTTTTTGTATGCCTTGTGTCAACTAGCTACTAATTTATGTGATTGGCAGAGCCTAAATCAAATGTCCAGGCCTTTAACTCCAAGGAAAGTTGAGAAGACAAATTCAGCTTCTCAACTAGTTTGGCATTTCAGCTTCTATATAGGAAGTTGCCACAATGGGAGCTAAGATGTAAGGAAGTCCCCCAAACATAGAAGGGGGTTTAGGTTCTGTGCTAATGACCAATCTCCTTTGTAAAGGGAAATCCAGATTTCTGTGGGGCCTAATTTATACAATTTGGTGGTTGGGTGGGTAAGGGGGACTTATTTTAGGAAAAACACAAAATTAGAATACTGAATTAGATAGAGGGTTTGAAGCAGCTTATGCAAAGAGTCCTAAGGCTTCCCAACTCTTTGTATTTCTTCTCCTTTCCAGACTTCTTCCCAACTCTTTGTATTTCTTCTCCTTTCCAGACTTCTGAGTTTGCTGTTGCTCTGCTTGGCACAGTTTATCTCATTCTATTTGGCTACCTGTTCTTCAGGCCTCAGATAATACATTATTTCCTCTGAGAGCTTTCTCTGAGCCCTTAAAACCTTGCCACTGCTATCATGGAACGCTTTCATTTCTCTTATGTGGGCACATACAACACTAATTGCCTGCTGATATGTGTCATTCTAACACTAGATTATAAAGAAAAAGATATTGTAGTCATTTTAGTACCCTCAGACCGAAGTATAATGTCTACAGGTAGTAGATACTCAATAGTTATTAAATATGTGACTAGATAACATACTTTTCTGTTTTCATGCCTATGTTCTTATGTTGCTAACTACTATCTGTATGTTGTTATCAATTCTTTTTTGAAATTTATTTTTTGAGAGAGAGAGAAACATCAATTTCTAGTTCCACTTACAGAAGCATTAATTGGTTGATTTTTGTATGTGCCCTGACCAGAGATCAAAAACCTGCAACCTTAGTATATTGGGACGATGCTCTAACCAACTGAGCTAACTGGCTAGGCCTGATTATCAGTTCTTTAATGCAGCTCTGAACTTGTTTTTTAAATGTCTTTATAGAGC